CGCGTATATATGTACTACGGAATTGAAACAGCCGTGACGACCCCGCCCGGCCGCCCACTCAGCGCGCGCATGGAGGGGGGGCGGCGCCGGCCGCGGCGCAATCTCATCTATGCATATGCATGCATGACCACCAGAGCCTATAGGGAATAATCGGCGCGGCCAGCAGGGGTGGCTCCATATATACCGTACCGGGCGCACACGGATTGTAGTAGTCGATTGCAGCCTCAGAGACCCCTCACAGTTATGCTTGCCATTGAAATCGCCATCTGGATCATTTTTATCCAACTCTTCATCCAGATTGTGAAGTGCTTCCTCGGGTTGTTAGCTCTTCTACGCGAACTCGACAATGCTGCAGCAGAATTACTAGTGCTCGGACAACACTGTTCCTGTACTTGCCACAACACGACTCGGTCTGCAACTCATCAGCTCCCGGCAGTGAGGAGACGTGGACGGAGACGACGGCCACGCAGACACCGGCGACGTCGCGCAATGCGAGAACAAGGAGACCCGCGCCTAGCCGAGATGGTTGTGCCTCGCTGGAGCGGTGCTGGTCAACTACAACCAGCCAGTGAGGGAAATCTGTGCAGAACAGGGCCTGCCTCTCCTCCGGGACACCTGGCGTCAGCTGAGCTCGTGACGGGCCGCTTCGCCCTGCCGCTGTCCAGAGCCACGCAACACAGTGCAGGAGCAGGGAGATCCAAATCCCTCTGAACTGGTCTAAAAGAAATGCTGTGAACTACCAAGACTTTATGCACGGTCCAAATACTCAGCGAATGTGTAAGGCTATGCTTTTTTTATAATAATGTTTGAATTCGCTAGCCTAGTTCCCAGCAAGATATGTTTTCCACGTAAAGGTATTATAGACATTGAGGCTGTCGAGTTGTAACATTTTCTGCATTAGTATAATATAGACTCTGAGGATGCAACAAACTAAAGGCAGCCTAGCTACCAACCTGTGAATGAGCTGAACGTATAGCAGCAGCAATACGGTATAAGCATGTAGGGTGGAAATAATCAGTACATGCAGAAGCATGCATGTATTTACTGCTACATAGCTACCTCTTCTCCCCACAAACCAATACGATACAACAAGATGGCTTTCAATTGCATGTGACATGTGACACCTTAATGAGCACAGAGTCCTAATGAGTTTTTGCAACAAACTGCGAGTCACTTGAGTGCAGGGTCGGTCCAGCGAGTCTGTGCATAGTCATCAATCATCTGACAGAAGCTGATGTAGTTGACGTCGTTTCTTCCTCCAACTCTCACATCAAACTTGCGGTAGAGGATTTGAAACTCCATGGCATTCACCAGTCCACCCATCTCCAGTTCACTCAGAACTCGGTGGAACTGCCAGCAACAAGTTGCAGTGTTAGACAATCATAAACACCATTGTTGTCGACAATGACTTTTGACTCAATGAAACCTATTCAGATAAATGAAACTTTATTCACCTGTGAGCGAGTCACACTGCCAATGTGGACTCTATCGTAGTCTTCAAAGAGAGGGAATATCTGAATACGACGTACCCGTACCTGCAGTTTGGTAGACAAATCATTGCACTACACTAACTGTGTAACATTGTTGTTGGCCATAATGTACAACGTCCATTTAGGGGCCTTGTTCAAAGAGCTATTAGGATAAAATTGCAAGAGGTAAGATAACAACATGCCTCGGGAACAATAACTCAATTGAAGCACTGGTCATTGTCAATCTTATGTAGGTATGTATAGTTCCTCATACCCTCTCTGCCAGTCTGTGCATGGTCTTCTGCAGTGTCTGCTCTTCCTCTGGACTCAGAACATACATGTTGACCCCGACCGGCGGCACAAACTGAACCACCTCCGCAGTGGGCATCTTCTCCAGGTCCTTCCTGGTGAAGACCGACTCTATCTCGTCAGAGAACCTCATGTACTCCACTTGGCTAGGGTCCTTGGGTGATTGATACCTGAAACAGTTGGCAAACAGTTTTGCTGATAATCACTCTCTGCAGCGTACACATGCAGATGTGTGAACAAATTGTGTTATAGAGCTGCTCGTGTCCACATGTAACAGACATTTTCTCGAGAGCAGTGACTTCTTCTTGTCCGAGGCTGAAGCCGCACAAGTCCAGAGCTCGACGGAAGGAGGTTGCAGGGATACGACCGGAGCGAAGTTTGTCATAGTCCCTCATGAACTCCAGCACACGCACTCGTTCCTTCATTACCTGACAAATGATTATGAGCTCATGAATAATTATGGTTTATGCTTGTTTGCTTACTTTTTGTCTTGATTTTCTCCAGGACAGATTCAGCATCAACCTTCAGTGCCGGGAGCATTTAATGAATACCGTCATACCACGCGAAGGACCTGTCGTCAAGGTAATGTAACAAACGATTAACCCTCTGTGCACACCTGCAGCGAGCGTACTTTGTCTGTTACTATTAATATAGAGCTCTATATTCATCTCTATATTCATCTCTATATTCAGCTCTATATTCATCTCTATATTCAGCTCTATATTCAACTATATATTCTGTTCAAAGATATGACGTGAAATGCTAATGAATAAGTGGAGGGTTACCGTGTAATGATTATCCTTTGGTGGACATTCTTGTGTGCAGGGGGAAGACTCTGGTGACTTGAAGAGACACAGATCGAAAGACGGATCTCTGAAGAAGGTATGTTGTGTGGGTGGCCGTCATGTGACGATCTAATCCCGACACCAATGGGAAGTGTCCATATATTAGTGAGATCGGGAGAATGTCCTCATTTCAGAGGTGTCCTTAGAGAGGGGTCGGTCCACTGTATTGAACATGTTGCCATGGTTTTTGACAGAGCAAGGGCGCCGGGAGCAACGGACAAAGGGTCTGGTGATGGCGGACGGCGGGCGAGACCTGACTGACCAGTATTCAACCAGTTTCAACTGGCTCCTCTCAACCGCATCCAAGAGAAACCAGCAGTCGAAATTCGCGTAAGTCTTCCCCACAAGTCCAAGATTTCACATTATTATTCTGCATAATGGTGTGTGTGTGGGTTGCAGGGAATGTAGTACGTATATACACAAGCTGAAGTAGCATGCACATGAATGCACGATCCTGCGTGCTAGCTTTCCCTCATTCTGTGTGCGTGTGAATCTTAGTGAGGCTTGCGTACCTCCTCACAGGTGGGAGTCACTGCAGAAGCACTCCATGCACAGTGAGCTTCTCAAGGAGTAGTAGTTAGAACTGTCTCTCCCTAACCTCCGCTATTTATCCTCTCTCTCTCCTTTCTCTCTCCTCACAGTGGGATAATGGTAGACGTTGTCCACTCTCCTGCCAGCATAGCTCAGCTGAGGGCAGAGAGAATACAATCCGTGAGTCACCGTTTTCCCTAACACTGCATCTGTGTGTGTAAACAAGCACCATGGGGTATTCCCCCCCATTCTGACATTATCTCTGCCATTGAACTGAAATGCAGCTTATGTCACCACTCAGACTACTTTACTCACCTCATTTCCATAAGCTTTATCTTTATCAGTCCAAGATAGGAAAGACACTGTCTAAACTGACTGCATGTCACATATCCATTGTGGTGCCTACAGTGGACACATGATACCAGATCATAATTGATTAATGTCACAGACTTGTCAAAGTCCTGGAAGCAAGGTTTGGTGAGCACCCTCCTCTGTTGGACTCTCTCGCTCATCCTGTGTAGTGCCTTCTCCAATACCTCACCCTCACCTTCTCCTACACAATACACACACAAGTTCAAGTTGCATACAGTAGTGTGTGTAAGCTTACCTATGGTGGTAGAAAAGTCTACTGCTCCTGGATGAGGTAATGGGACTTCATCTGTGGGCACTGTGTAGTATGCAACCCCACATGCTACATAGTAATCATACAGGGTTTTGATGCCCACCTTGCTCAATGTCAGAGATGAATTTCTTCCAGAGGACGTTGCCTTTGTGTTTCGGATCGGCATAGCGACTACACAGCCCCGGGGTAGCAGATGAGCCAACTGCTGCAGGGGGCCTGTGACAGGGACATGTCAAAACCTATAAAGACATACAAATAGTGCTGAAGAAAAGAGTGTAGCCCTGAGGAATGTGTTAGCCTAGAACACACCACCCTATCTGTATCCAGGGCATCATCTGAGACTACCAGTATATACTTGTGGTTCTGAACTAATGAGATCCACGTTGCTACCTAACTTAGGCTTGTTATACAGCGGAACCTCTGATAATGACACTCTGAATTAAGGACACAATACCTCTAAATAAAGGACATGTTTTGATGTCCCAGACGTTCACTTTTCATTTTTAACCTCTGAAGAGATAAACCCACCATAATAAAGGGAACTAGAAACTGTCTGGTGTCAACGTGTCCTATTCAGAGCACTTTTAGCAGGGACATTGCACTAATGGCATCCAAATCTCCCCATGTTGTGCACATGAGGAACCCTACCTGTGCTAACTCTAGTCGCTATCCTTGGTCCTTGTTTACCCCAGGTTTGTTTGTGTAGCCATTGAGAATGTTATTTGACTAAGAACACTTCCTTGTGCATTCCTTGGATATTTCAACTTTGAACATTTCACTTCATGGCTGTAGGTGGAGGAGGGAGGCCAGCAGAGAAGCTGTCTCCTCCATTCACCATTGTGCTAAAGAACTTTGTAGTGACTGAAACTTTGTAACAACCCTGTATACATGTATGCATGCAATTTGTTGGAGTATGTTTGTTGACCATTTAGCTAGTAGAGAAATTATTGTAGAGTTTTGTAGCATAGTGGTTAACAGAAGTGCAAAATATAAGTATACACTAGGTAGCACAGTGCTTTGTATAGTTGAGGCTTGCTGGTGCGTGGTGGGCATCATGCGCTTTGGCAAACCACCCCGGCACCCACGCGCGCGAGTATATATACGCGATACCTTCATGGGTTATTCCAGTGCGCTATAAAAGCGGGGAGTTTTTCAGTTAGTACCAAGGTCTGGTCGTGTATGCAATAGTAGCCTGTAGAAATTTCTTGCTCCTTATCCAGCACTGCGACTCCAATGCGCTGTTCAATCGTCCTCATCATCTTTCTGCCGTTGCTGCTTCCCGCGCAGGATCCTGAGCGAATGGGACACAGGGCGTTTGCCAGTTGTTGCAACGCAAACCGTCTTCAGCCCCGCCCGGCTGAGGCGGCGATGGAGAGTACGCAGACTGCGGAGGCACCGACTTTCATTTTGCAGCTTGCTGGAGTGTCGTGCTCTGGCAACGCACGAGAGAGGCCGCGTGCGATGCAAGAAGAAGCGATCCGAGCCCAGCTGAGATGGTGTGCAACGCTCGAGCCTGCCTCCATCGTCGACCGATCCCAGCCCGACGAGCAGAGTCCTGCGATGGACGGCCGCTCTCCAGCAACTGGTGCAGCAAGTCGACGGTGCACATACGACGCGGAAGAGGAGCGGGAAGCAACCGATGCCAGCAGGCGATGTCGGCTTGCTGCACATGCAGAGCGGTGCAGGAGCCGCGCGGTCCTAACGAGCCCAGATCAGTGGTGGGACTCTGCAACGGGGTGTTTCCGAGCCTCGTAATACAATGCATAGAGCAAGGAGACCCACAAACCATGCTCAACTGGTCCATTAATGATGAGCCTCAATGATTTGGTACCTCATGTGAACATTTTGTGTGACCCCACGGCGAAAGAACATTAATTTGTCTCATAATAGTGTATGTGATGTGGGAAAATTCTAGGTGTAATGATAAGTCCAAGAGCGTGTCTGTCCAAAATGATGCTGGTGCCAGTGAATGGTTTGGTTACATGACACGCACTCATGTCATGCACATCGCAGGAGCCGACTATCAAGTACTCACCGAGGTTCAAAGTCAATATTGACAGTTTATTTTCAGATCAAACACTGCTTTAACACCACCACAAGTAGGTAAGAAATCACTGAGTAGTCTAACTAGTCATAGTAAAAAAGGTTAGTGGTATGTATGTGAGAGAGTGAAAACATACTCCAAATATGTATGGGGAGTGAGAAGGTGCGCACGATCGATATAAGATGGCTGACGTTACAGACCCAGCATAGCATCGCTGCATAGGTGTGACTGCGTCGAAACACCTCGCACACAGAGGTAGTTCTTGGACTATCACCCCATTCACATGGTTCAGCGGATCGAGAAAGCCAAGCAGCCGAAGGGACCAGGCCGTCACCAGCGACGTTCACATGGAGCAGAACACAAGAGTTGTTACATGGAGATGATGTATCGCAACCAGCCAGTCGTGTGTAAAAGCATCACCTGCCAGCCGCCGGCGGCAGTCAGCGTGTGTCGCTCGTCAGGTCCGGGGAACAAGGATTCCTCTCGACATCCGGCCGAATCGCAATGGAAGCAAACTTCTAAATAGAACGATTCCGTGGGGTGTACGAGTCGTTCACGGTCGCAGAGAAGCAGAGCACAGGAGTCGACAATGGTGCTCACGGGCTCCCGATACAAAGACGACAAAACCAAAGATGGAGGGTGGCGTGACAAGCGGGAACGTTCGCAGGGGCGCTGCGGAGGTGTCGGGGTCAAGGGTTCACAACAACGACGGCGATATCCGGCAACGGCGGCGCAGGTGGCTCTGTCGCACAAGCATTTCCAGGACCAGGATATTCTGCCGTACAACAGTCCAGCTCTTGCACAGGCAGAGTCTTCCGAGAAGATCACGTGGCGACCAGGGATGATCATGCATTCTGTGAGCACTTCTATACTTAGCTGTGAGCACTCCTATAGTTAGCTGCGATCTCACTTAGCTCTGTGAGCCTGAACTAACCCTTTTATAGGGGCAGAGAGGTCCCAGAGATGTGGAGTAGTTGTGTATAATGGTGCCTCACGGGCTCCCGCTACCAAAGAGCAAATCAAAGATGGAGGCGGACAAGGGGAACGTTCGGCAGGGGGCGGAGGCGTCGGGGTCAAGGGTTCACAACAACGACGTTGATATCCCGGCAACGGCGGCGCAGGTGGCCCCGTCGCACAAGTAATTATCATGACACATTTTTAGTCGTGAAGCATCGATATTCTGTCAAGAAAGCTACGTATAATTTGAGTATTGTACATGATAGTACCTATGCAATCCCATTGAGGGCCGAACACAGTGTGACACACAGCCACAAACATGAGAGAGAGATTATGAATAATGGAAAATATATACACTGATATATGAATAATGGCAAATGGAAAATATGTGATAAGCTCTCTATCTCTCATTCTCTTATGTTAGTGGCTGTGTGCTTCAAACAGACAATACGTAAGTTCGTAGTAAGCACAGCTACTCACCACTCGTAGTCCTCACTGGCACAGTCACAGATGTGGTTGTCAAACTCCCGGTCCTAGTCGCGTCCGTTGAGACAGCAGATATGAGGCTTTCGTCTCTCGATCGTGATGGAGCTCCCCAAAAGACACTGACTCTCTGTCCTCTGCAGTGACAAACAATACAGTTTGTTTGGACTATATAGTAGGAATGTGTAGAGGGATGCTTTGCAATGATGGGAGCACAATCAAAATGAGCTCCCCAGAATACACATGCTCTGCGGCGACAATAATTTGCCATGAAGCTTTCTGCATGAGCAAACTTTGGCATGACTGGGAGCACAATGGAAGTATGTACATTTCTATTATCACACCCATACATCTACGGTAGTTGCATAAGAAACCTTTGTCGCATAGCTAAATATAGGTTAGATGCGGAGCCGTATGGGAGGTGATTCGTGCCAAAATTCGACGATGTGACGAACCCGTTTTGTTCGTCTGGAGGAGGCGTGTCTCGTCGAGCGGAGGCGCGTTTTTACGAGTGGAGTGGCGTGTCTCGTCGAGAGGAGGCAAGTTTTTTTTCAAGTGGAGAGGCGGGAGAGGAGGGACTAACCTATATTTAGAGCTGGGTAATTTAAATTGCGCAATCTCCCAGCGAGAAAGCAGCGCTCGTTCGCGGTTTCAGATGCACCGAATTTGAATTGCGCGCACGCGTTGCCGTAGCTCTAAACAAGTTAGACGCCTCGTCCATGGAAACTACGCGCACTAATGCGCGTAGTTTCCTGGACTCGGCATCTAACTTATATATAGACTCCGTTGTTACTACGTCATAACCATGGCAACGACTTACTAATCAACAATTCCCTTCTCCGCGCCGCGTGTGCATGCTGAGCGCGCGCGAAAAGAGGAAGAACACTGAGAGACTTATTACCACGGACACTGCACTTCAGTGTTATTCTCGCTGTCCTTCTAATTCTGACTCCAGCCAGGGAGCAGGAGTCAGGGGGTGTTGCCAAGATTGGCCTGGTTGAGGTGGGCATAAATAGAATCAATATCTCTTCAGAGCTTGGCCCATGGATCACTACGAGCGGCTGGTGCTCGGTGTGTTGGAGCACTGGCCACCTTTGACCCACAGCAGTACCAGTGTGGGAAGATCACCTGCGAGAGAATTTGGTTGTCCTCAGAGAAGATGGTAGGCCTAATGTGTGTGGCATGTGGTTGGAGGATGTGGGACTGCTTGCTACAGGGAGAGGGGGAGGAGGAGGAGGAGAAGGTGAAGTTTGTGAGGGAAGTGGTGGCTGGCTGCGTCAGATACCAGCAGCTCATTAAGGTATACCAATGATGTAATGAGGGAAGACCCTGGGAAATCTACCATTGTAAATAAGTACACCGCACCTCATTCGACTTATACATCTGCATAAGAAACCTTTGTCGCATAGCTAAAGCAAAAGTTGAACCCTCAAGGAAGAAAAATAAACCTCAAATCATAAAATTTTCCTTCCTCAAATTTTTTTCCTGCTGTACAGTACATTACCTCGTCCCAAGGTCTCCAGATAGTAGTCTTGGTCGTCGCACATGGCGGGAGAAGAGTGTTAGCAAAATCCACGTGTAATGACGGTCCACTTGAATTATCCCACGAGCCTCAGTAGGAAACTATGATGGTAGTGTGCTGGCCTGGCTCCGTGACCACACCATAGATCGTGATATCAGTCTGGGGAGGGACGGAATTGAGATCTACATCATAAAGTGGTGACCTGATCTTAGATAAGGGCTTTAGGAGTGATTGGTCATATATATTATGCTTGCTTGTGAGCACCAAAAAAAATCGGAAATGTTCCAGCATTCAGAACGAGGACACTTTCGACATCTACGATCCTGGCAACCCCATCAACAAGAGGATGAGCTGTCTAACGTGGTGTTGATGCTGTTGTTGGTTTAACGTTGCACTACATCGTAAACCAAAAGCATGGTCAATTACGTTAATAATACGCAACACATCTGCAACAGAAAAAATACCTCCTGCCTGGTCATGAACTACGACCACTTATCACATTTCCCAAGCCATGAATGTCCGTAGCACAATCGCATAGCTTCCTTACCTGATACTTCCAGTCTGACTAGGTAATTGCATGCCAAGCATAGCAATATTGACGACTGTTAAGATCCATGCAGGGATTCAAATGTGCATTTTATGTACGCAGGCAAAACAATACAGCACTGTCAATAATGAAAAGCACTAAAGTGCAAACCCTGTATTGCTTCATATGTAATACAGTGGAGTCTTCGTACGGAGCTGAAAGTGAAATCCCTCCAGCTGTAGCCCTCGTTGCAGCTGTACTTGAGGACCGTGGACTGTTCCTGGTGGTAGTCTTTGGCGGCCACCATTAACCCTCCGTGATCTGCCAGGTTAACCCCCCAGCTCCCGGCGAGCGTCTGCTCCCACGTAACGCCGCCATCGCGAGAGATGAACAGATCTGGGTTGATACTCAGTTCAATACCAATGGTACCTGGACAGAAAGAAGGAGAAGATCATGAAACTACCCATCATTCCGATACATGCTATGATGCTAAGTACATCTCTTGCTACAAGTACTACTGTATAGACAGGCTTAATGCATGTAGTGTGGGCAAACAAACAGAGTTGAAAGGAACACAAATTCTGGTGCACCGCAATGAAGCCAAGATTTGTGTAGATTGTAGATTCAATTGAACAATGTCCATGCACACATGTTTGTGTTGTAATCACTTCAAGTTTCACCCTACCATGAGCCACAATAATCCCAAGGGCAGACTCGGTGGAGTAGACTCCCAATCTGGCGTAGTTGGTGAAGTCCATATGGAGGTGGAGGGAGCAGTTTGGAGGCTCACAGTTTATTGTGTCTCCATTTATGTCCTCGTCAGGAAGCAGTAACTGCAGGGGCACACCCGATGATTGGTAAGGTAACTTTTCCGAAAATTTTGCGAACACAGTTGGCAGTGTGGCCACTATTACGAATATATTCATGAAAATAATATACTTCGGGGTTTCAGAAGCTCTCTGAAATTTGCGTCAGTTTTGTGTCATGAACAAAATGCACTCACGCCTTCCCAGAATCCGCCATTGTCCAGTGAGATGACCGTTCTAATGGAAGAGGCCAGGTCTGACGTGTCTTCTCTCGTGTACTGGTTGGCTACCAGTGTCCCATTGAGACCCTCAATCTACAAATTGATGAGGGGGGCAGAGAGAAAGAACTCCTTGAGCCTAGTTGAATTGCGTGATGTGCATTTTGGAATGATGGCATGTGAGTAATTTGCCTATTTATGTTGTCACTATATATACTTTGGGATGTGTAAAAACAGCTGATGAGCACTTGCATGCCTTTTGTGGCTGGCACTATAACTATTTAGGTGGGTGGCAGTAGTAAACAGCTGATGAACAAGGTATTGTGTAGTCCACAGTTAACATAATTGTAGGGATGCTTAATGTTCATAATACCAGCTCCAGATCAATGTTGTAGTCGCTGTCAATGACAAGGTCTCGTAGAGAGAGACTGTAGTAGACTCCGGACTCATCTGACAGGTAGAGATTGTAGAAACCTCCCGCGTGCTCCACTATCACTAGAGCTTGCACGTCGTTGATACGGATCACTAGGTAGCTGGAGAGGGAGGGAGGGAGGGAGGGAGGGAGGAGGCATGTACACAGAACAGCGTATCGCTGAAATTGTAGTTGTACTAAATGTATAGCAAATTGCTGTACTACTTGTAGAACAGGGATTGGTACTTAGTTGCCATTGCCTTGCTGATGGCTATAATTAGCTAACATTATATCATCCTTTAGGGGAAAAGCTAATTCATACACCACGTACACATAATTATACTACCTATGGCTGATGAAACATACTTGCGATGTTCATCAGGTACTGGTATCATGGCCCTCTTAAACGGCTTGCGTCTGTCGCTCACATGCAGACCAATCACTCCGTCGTCTGTCCGCTGAGCAAATATGTAGCGACCGACCAACAAGAACCCATCGTGGTCTCCGAGGTTTTTATCAAACTCGTTAGATCCCCCGGTGTACGGGTAGTCAGATACGAAGAGGTTGACTGTTTCATCCTCAATGTCAGAATTTGGATTAGGGTCCGCGGTTGTGAAATAGACCCTCCTATCATCATCATCCCAGGCTGCATCACCCCTACACGGAACGTTTTTGTTGATATAATTGTATATATACACGTTATGTGTGCATACCATAGCCAAAATACACATGACGGAACATTATATGTATTATAAAGCATTCCCCAAACATGAGTGTATGATATCTAACATGCCTACCACTGGTAGAAGTGAACGTTTTCTTGGACTTCTTTCAGTGTCTTGCCATAGTCCTCTATCAAGTACAGCTGCAGAAAATATAAATTTTTATATGGCTCATACGTAGTAACCATAACCCCACAATACAGTATTGCATTTGCCTGCATTTCATTACTGTTCTATGCCTGCCTGAACTGTCAAAATTTTGGTAAAATGACCAAATTGGCAACTGAATTTTACCACATTTGATCATGTGTAAAACAGGAGACTAAAAGTAAACCCACGTGGTATGTAACATAAACGAGAAATGAAACTAAGGGGCTACTTCCCCACTGACTGTGTTTCTAGTTGCATCTCTCATTAGCATCCAGCCTCTCTAGTAGGATGGTAGACAACAGTGGTTAGTAACGAGGGTCGGAGGGGTGAGATTACTGTGAGACACGTTGTGCTCCTTGGTCGTTGGAGTAGGATAGTTTGGACTCAGTAGAATGGACAAATATCAACTGTGTTAGAGGGAAAGAAAGGGGGAGGAAAGAGGAAGGGGGAAGAGAGAGAAGGATGGGGAGAAGAAAAGAGACGGGGAAGGAGGAACAAGGGAGAGGGAGACTGAGTGTGGTGCTACCACACCCATGCTATAGTAGGAAGTCGCACCACAGTCATAATACCAGTCAGATCCAAGCAGTGAGGTTTACTACCAGCCAGAGTACTGCACTGTACTACAGTACACCCACAAGAACACCCACATCCACACACAGCCACCTAATCCCAGGGAATAGATTCTTCTCTATGTGCATGAAGACTAGCCACTAACTAGACCTCGGTATCTCCACTCAGTAGAGAGTACTGAACTAGAGCAGTGCACTGCCCACTTGGTCGCATTTGATGTGTAGTAAGTGGTGACTGCCAGTAGTTAGTGACCTGTCAGGAATCGAAAAAGATGTGGGATGCCTACACGTGTCTAGCAGCGGAGTAGAGCCACATTGGCCGCTTTAGTGTTTTACATGGACGGTTAAGCTCACACTAATTGAGCTATGCATGAGGTATATAGTGCAGTGCAATGTGGGGGAGATGTCATGTGACAGGCATAGTATCAACCAGTAATGTGTGAAAGAGGGAGGCCAGCATACATAGCATGGACTGCATGGCCAAGTAGAGTTAAATATACTGTACGGTGGGCGAGCGATATGCGAATCCATCTAGTCCATTATCCTCAATCATAACTGAATACAACAATCACCTACAAATAACCATTTCATTATCTGTGGGTAACATAACATGATCCGGTCTTCGGGGCAATCGTTTGTAGCTACTGAACTAATTTTGATTCTCTCGCCGCTGTCTCTCTTTTTTCCACGTCCGTATATACTCTTACTGTGACTGCGTAACCACTCCTAGCGTACGTAGATCCTGCTGTTCTGATTCGCGCCGTCGTTGACGCTGGTGCGCCGTCTATGTGCGGCAGTGACCCGCGCTCTGCCCTTTTCCGATCTGACGACAAACGTACTATAAGAGTCAGACCTCGACGAGTAAAACTCTTGGTAGACGTGTCTAGTGAACGCTTAGGTGTCAATGCGGCTCACCCGGGTGAGAGGCTCCGTCTCCAGCGCTAAATGAGGGGTGATGACATCGAGGACAGTCGGAGCGTGACGATTAGTCGTAAGCTGACACTCGGCACTTCAATAATGCTCCCAGTACCGCTGGACTGGACAAAGACAGCCAGAAGACAGGCTAGCATGAGAGACACACAGCTGAAACTCAGCATAGCTGGACGTGTCAGTATGAGCGCTTGCTACCGTAGGACGCGGAACAGCCGTGAGCTAGCTAGCTAGCAGCTCTACTAGACGGTCCTTCTCACGGCATGTCGTGCAGCTGGCGAGTGCAGAGAGTGCGAGTGCAAAAGGAATTCACAGAAATTCACAAGCGCGGCGGCATAGATTACCCCACATTCTAACCAACCGTCGGCGCTCGTCCTGCTATTCATTCGCGCACACGAATTGTAGCAGATACAGTAGCTTCGATGTGCACAGCCTCAGAGACGCCCCTACACACGTTATGCTTGCCATCGAAATCCGCCATCTGGATCATTGTGTTATCCAACTCTCATCCAGATTGTGAAGTGTTATCCTCGCGTTGTGTGCTCTCTCTACGCAGAACTCGACAATGCTGCAGCAGAATTACTAGTGCTCGGACAACACTGTTCCTGTACTTGCCACAACACAACTCGGTCTGCAACTCATCAGCTCCCGGCAGTGAGGAGACGGGGACGGAGACGGAGACGACGGCCGCGTAGACGCCGGCGACGTCGCGCAATGCGAGAACTAGGAGACCCGCGCCTAGCCGAGATGGTTGTGTCTCGCTGCAGCAGTGCTGGTCAACTGCAACCAGCCAGTGAGGGAAATCTGTGCAGAACCGGGCCTGCTCCTCAGAGACCCCTGGCGTCAGCTGAGCTCGTGACGGGCCGCTTCGCCTGCCGCTTTCCAGAGCCACGCAACACAGTGCAGGAGCAGGGAGATCCAAATCCCTCTGAACTGGTCTAAAAGAAATGCTGTAAACTACCAAGACTTTATGCACGGTCCAAATACTCAGCGAATGTGTAAGGCTATGCTTTTTTTATAATAATGTTTGAATTCCCTAGCCTAGTTTCCAGCAAGTTTTCCACGTCAAGGCAGACATTGGATTCTTTCGAGTTGCCCTCGGCGCGCATGCGCAGCGAGGGTACTGTAGTTGAGTTTGTCCTTCCTGATCCTTTCCGTGTGTCTGTCTGTTACTCTACATCTCACCTCTCGAATGTCTGTTCGTCCCAGAAACGATACCATCTACCCAACGGGCGACGAAGGTCATGTGGGGTTTTCTCTGAAACTGCTCCGTTTAGTGTGATAGTATATAAAAGGAAGTACATATAATGTGTACAACCCTCTTACGTAAGTCCCTCTGAAGACTAAATAATCCTAACGAGTGTTTTCCATATTAGGTATGATGTCATAATTAGACTTAATTTCCTCCTATGTTCGTTGTTGAAGCGCGAAAAAGCCAATATGCAAATACACAACAGACGGGATGGCCTGATCGATTCGCGTGCTCTGCGTACCTCGGAGGCACCAGAAGATGCAACGCAGGGCGTGTATCGCCTCTCGCATGCTATCTATTAGTGCAGTTAGCCCGCGTCAGACTCTGCGCGAGCTGGCAAGAGACCACGAGTAACAGCTAAAACTAAACCCAGCCCATCAATTAGTGGTACGGCGCATGCGTTTACTGACGCGCGCGTGCGCGTCACAATGCGCCGAGGGTTGCACTTCAGTATAATATAGACTCTGAGGATGCAACAAACTAAAGACAGCCTAGCTACCAACCTGTGAATGAGCTGAACGTATAGCAGCAGCAATACGGTATAAGCATGTACGTGGAAAAACCATTCATCAGAAGCATGCATTGTATTTACTGCTACATAGCTACTCTTCTCCCCACAAACCATACGATACAACAAGAATGGCTTTCAATTGCATTGACATTACACCTTAATGAGCACAGAGTCCTAGTAGTTTTTGCAACAAACTGCGAGTCACTTGAGTGCAGGGTCCGTCCAGCGAGTCTGTGCATAGTCATCAATCATCTGACAGAAGCTGAGTAGTTGACGGTCGTTTCTTCCTCCAACTCTCACATCACTTGCGGTCAGGATCTGAAACCCATGGCATTTCACCAGTCCACCATCTCCAGTCACTCAGAACTCGGTGGAACTGCCAGCAACAATTGCAGTGTAGACAATCATAACACATTGTTGTCGACAATGACTTTTTACTCAATGAACCTATTCAGATAAATGAACTTATTCATACCTGTGAGCGAGTCACACTGCAATGTGGACTCTATCGTAGTCTTCAAAGAGAGGGATATCTGAATACGACGTACCCGTACCTCAGTTTGTAGACAAATCCTGCACTACACGACTAACCATGTTGTGTGTAACATTGTTGTTGGCCATGAATGTACACCACTCATGGCCTTGTTCATCAGTACACTCTTCAACAGCTCACTAAAGCTAATGTCAAGGACTGCCATTGCCCTCAGAACATAGCTCAATTGAGCATTGTCATTGTCATCTTATGTAGTATGTATAGTTCCTCATACCCTCTCTGCCAGTCTGTGCATGGTCTTCTGCCGTGTCTGCTCTTCCTCTGGACTCAGGACATACATGTTTGACCCCGAACCGGCGGCACAAACTGAACCACCTCCGCATGGGCGTCATCTCCAGTCCTCCTGGTGAAGAACCGACTCTATCTCGTCAGAGAAACCACATGTCTCCACTTGGCTGGGTCATTGGGTGACTGGATACCTGAAAACAGTTAGCAAACAGTTTTGCTGATAATCACTCTCTGCAGCGTACACATGTAGATGTGGTGAACAAATTGTGTTATAGAGCAGCTCGTGCCCACATGTAACAGACATTTTCTCGAGGGCAGTCACTTCTTCTTGTCCGAGGCCGAAGCCACACAAGTCCAGAGCTCGACGGAAGGAGGTTTGCGTGATACGACCAGAGCGAAGTTTGTCATAGTCCCCATGAACTCCAGCACACGCACTCGTTCCTTCATTACCTGACAAATGGAGCAGATAATATATGAGCTCATGAATAATTATGCTTCATATAAATGTGGTTTTCCTATGTAATTTGTTTATTTACTTTTGTCTTGATTTTTCAGGCAGATTCAGCATCGACCTCACAACACAGCAG